AGTGAAAGATGAACACGTCTGAAACCCCCCAAAACAGGGGCTGTTAAGTTACCATTTGCAGATTTACATCCACCGTTTTGGCTAGCCACTGAACAAGTACCTCTCTGGCTGGTCCATAATGCCCACATAAATGTGGGCATTAATCATTTTCCTGAAACATAGATACAAACCTTCTAGCAAAACTATCATGGAGGGTAAAGTCACGCAGCTAGTCCAGACATCTGGCGGCAACCCCGCAGCGACAGATTCCCTCTCACTGTCAGTGGCCAAATACAAAACAGCCCTGGTAATGAGTGAGAGGAAAAAGCGGAGCACTCCAGGATCATGATGGGTTGGGCCAGAATAAAAAGGTTTTATGAGGAAATTATTTGCTTTAGTGTTATTTGCCAATTAGGGGAGTCATAAATGTCTCAGGGAATATTTATTATGAGTGTCAAGTGTCTGCTGCAGTCCTTAGGTAGGAAAATGATAAACGACCTGCCAACAATGTCAGCCTGGCTCATTGCAAAGACCTCTAAAGGTTACCGTCTCTCAACATGGTTATGCTTCCATGAAATAGCAGACACATGTATAGTCTTCCTTGACATCTATTCTACCACGAAGTACCAGTGAAAATATGTAATATTACAAAGGCTTATAATAGGCTTTCACTTTCAATTTATAAGCCGAAGTGTGCTTACATGGGTCCAATCAAACCCCGGGTCTTCAAGAAATGAAATGACTAGCGCCAAGCCCTATTTGCAAATATATTGCATTTTAGACTTGCATACACACATGAGTCTTAAGGTGGTAATATCAAACCACAGAAGGATCGAACCACGTATCAAATCAAGTCCCTACTTGAGTGACTCACACAAGTTAGTTGTCCTTGGCAGTTCCACAGATGAGTAATGTGCACAAATAAACCTGGAGAGCTTGAGTTAAGTAGCGTATGATAGATATCTTTGCTAAAAAGACATTGTAGAGTCTTTAGCTTGCACTGACATACCGAACAAAGGTACAATATCATTATTTGACCACAGAACTCTTGTCCTCGGGGAGCAGCCAGTGACACTAGTTTCCCCCATTGAGGACTCCCAATGCAGAATTGACCTGTAAGTCCATGAAATGAACAGATCTAAACAAAGTGGGTGAAACTCTATGGCTGGTACAGCACCCTGAATCATGTTCTTCTTTGGAATACGTCCCCCTTTTCAAGTCCAACTCGCATACCTGACTCTGTAAGGAGCACTGGCAAGATGCTGGGCGGCAAGGGCAGTGGTTTGGAGCCACCAGCTGCTCCACAGAGAAAGATGGGCTTTCTACTGCTGTAAAGAGTCACCGTCTCTGAGACCCACAGAGCAGTTCTACCCTGTTCTATGGGGTCGCAATGAGTCAGGATTGACTTGCGGCAGTGTGTTAACCTGACTCAGTCATGACACCAGCCTGCATTAGGTTGGGACTGCCTGATGAAGGGCAACTAATCCTTGACTGGGAGTTAAGGGACCAGACATCTAATTTGATTCTTACACTTACTAGTCATACTGATCTTGAGCATGTCATTTAAGCTCTCTGGGTCTTATTCCCTAGCTATAAACTGGGCATATCAACTCCTGGTTACCATTTTTGTATAAACTTTCAAAGGAAATAAGAGAGACAATTCTTAGAAAACTGTAAGATTCTGTGAAGTTTCTAGGGTTAACACTATTGTGGTCATTCAATGATCTCCTCCCTCCTTCAAACTATGGGAGTGTTTCTAGCCCCAGAAATATTGCCTAGCTTCTCCATCTTTGTTACACACACACACACACTGCCAAGATTATTAGGACTGTTTCCCTGGGTAAAGACATCGTCCATAGAGTCTAAATTCTTACCTGAAGGTGCTAAGTGTGAGGGTACAGTTATTCTCTTTAGGAAGTAAACTCCACCTCTCCTCCCCCCAATAATGCAAGTAGATATTAGCTGAAATCATTGTCATGATGTTTGAGAGTCAGTGTTAAAAATATAAGTAAGAGAATTCTGAGTTTCAACCATAGCTCTTAGTTTCAACTCATTCATGGAATCTCTTAAGCAAATCTCTTAGTCTTTCTGGGTCTCACTTTCCTCATCTGTAAAATTGGGATAATAATGCCTGGGGTCTTGCACTCCTGTTCAGTTGATCCTCATTCCTGGAAGCATGTGTGCCTCATTCTCAGGATGCACTAGGTTATAAATGAGACAATATTAATACAGACACTTCACAACCTCTCCCCGACGTGACTTTCGAGCAGTTCTGTTACCTCTCTCACTCTGTCCCAGGCTCCTACAGACCGCAGTCCTTTCAGTCCCCAAGCTTGAGTCGAAAAGAAACGGGAATAGGATAGTCTCCTCCACGCTGAGCAGCAGACACCGAGCCTTAGAAGCAACTCCAAGGGCGCCTTGCCACTAAAGCAACAGTCCCTCCGCTTTGCCAGCAGTGCCTTGATGGATACTGGCCTTGGCCTCATCCTCCAGGGCCTGTTTGCTTAAAAAATGCCTCGCTGTCTTCCGCATCTCTCTCAGTCTCCTGGGAATCGTGCCTACACATCCTTCTCAAAGGCTCTCTTCTACTCACACCAACTGTAAATAAATGTGCCCGGTACGCCAGCCTCACCAACTGCAAAGACCCAACCAGTCTCTGGATCCCAGTGCAGGTCCAGCTAGGCCCCAGCTGGCACCTGTAAGAGGAACCCAGTGTCTGGTGCGTGGTGACTGCTGGCAAAGATGCAAACACAGACCCCAGTCATTAATGAAGTGCTCGTCTGTCTAACAGAAGACACAGATCTGAGCTCTGGAATCACAACCCTCCCAGCTCTATCCTCTTTGCCCCCTCTTCTCCTAGAGCTTACAGGGGGTGATCTTTTCATTTACTCCTCCTACATCCTCTCTCCCTTCTCCCTGACTCCAGGTCTGCCTTGATTAAGACCAAGTGAATCTTGTCTTCTCCAGAGGAGATCTTTACACAAACACTCCAGACTCGAATGTCAAAGGCGAGTGGAGCAAATGGACTGAGAATGTCCCAATTTGCGTGACAGAGGCATCAATTCCACCTGTCAGGAAGTTTTGGACCCCCTCAGGCATAACTGAGCAAAGGCGTGGTAGTTTAAAAAAAAAGGCAAAGAGAAAAATGCATTTATATTTCTTCGCCAAAATATACTACCCCGGTTACAGGTTACAGAAAGCATGCCAAGGATCAGGTAGCGTCACCCAAAATGCTGGTAATCTTCAGTCCCTGAATGGAAACTAACCTCTGAGGTCACTTTATAGCCAAAGAAAAAATTGCCCCCCGCCAAAAATAATGATTATCACCCACAAGTAGAGCGGCCCTTTAATAAATCACATATAAAGGCCAAACACCCAACAATTACTTTAAAAGAAAGATAAGAATGTAAAGGGACAGGGAAAATTGAACAACCAGAATGAGAATAAGATTG